CGGTCCTTTTCCCGCCTCAGCTGTTGGAGGAGATCGAAGCGGTGCTGGGCGCCGATCTGTCCCTCCCTCTGTGATCTCCCGGCCCTCTCGCGCTGCGGGGCCGCCCCGACGGAAGATTGTCCCAGCCCAGCCCCCTTGGAAAGCCACACCAAGAATCATACGAAACACCAGCAGAAGATTCAGTCTCTGCAGAAAAATGCCAAAAAGCAGGCTGGGCAAAATTAGAAACAAGGACATGATCGAAAGGCTGCTGCCAAAGCTGCCTTAATATATACCTGCACTGTCTGTAGGACACAAATGCCAGACCCTAAGACCTTCAAGCAGCACTTTGAGAGCGAGCAACCTAAGACCCCACTTCCTCCAGAATTGGATGATGTGCAAGCATAAAGTTGTTTACAGGTGAATTCATGACACCTTTGACTCTTCTGCTGTCTCAGACCTTAGGCAACAAAGTGCAGCTACTCTTCTGTTGATCAGCAAAAATAAAGGGGCTACAGAAACACTTTTTAAAAAGCCAATTGGAACTACTGTACACGTAAATTTGCTAGAATCTGGTTTTCTGACACACTTCAAGTGCAAAACGAGTTTCAGGGTCGTAGCTCAGCCGCGCTGCTCCTGCCTGGAAAGCGCAAGGTACTGAGTTCGATTCCTAGTACAGAGAAAAAAAATGCTTAAATGCAAAGCAAACGGTTCACCTGGTAAGATAATCAATGTGAAATAACCCACAAGAGTCAGCAGCTCTCTCCGTGTTCCCCCGTTCCAGTAACTAACCATTCCCGCATTAGAGCCTGCTGGTCCTTTGACCCTGCCACTGGTGATCACTTACCGCGAGCTGAGAGAGCTGCGCCGGGATACCGGGGAGAAGAGCACTGGGGAGAAGACCGCAGAACCTAGGGACTGTCCCCTCCTGCTTCCCGCACGGGGCGTTGAATTCGGCCCAATTCCGACCAGTGGAGCCCTTCGGGATCCGGTACCTGGAGTCCTCGGAGAAGGGATGGCCGGGAACATGATCGAGGGGGATAGAAATTCAGTACTCTGTCGCTAGAGCTAAACACCCAAGGGGCGGGAAGGCGCGTGGAGATGACGTCCAAATACAACGTCAAGCTGCAGAACGTGTTGGAGCAAGAGCAGGGAGGCGCGTGGCGATGACGCCAAAGAACAGTGCCGACCTACTGGACCGGGTCGGAGAGGAAGGGGCCTGGGTCTGTGACGTCATAGAGAAGTGCCGATCTTCGGGGCGTGGTTAGTGCAGAGCAGGCGCGAAGCGAGTGACGTCAAAGCCTTTCTCTAGTCTGAGTTGACGTGTGTCGGAGACTTTCCGGAGGCCGACCGGAGTTTCGGAGATAGCTTCAAACAGAGAAGCGACCTTCCTGAGTACTCAGGTGAGTCCTAGCGGCCAAAGGCATGGACACAACGGGGGATTGCTGCAAGTTCTAGGCCAGCCTGGGCTACATAGTGAGTTCAGGGTCAGTCTAAACTGCACAGTAAGTTCTTGTCTCCAAACAAAAAAACAAACAAAAAACCATGTGTGCAGAGAAGTAGGTCAAAAGACACTGTTGCAGTTGCATACAGTGCTCAAGTGTAGGGATCTAAAAGTAAAGCAGGAGTTCTGTATTTGCTGTACCCTGAGAATGTACTGAGAGACTATGTGCTCTTAACACATAGGGTAACTATGAGAGGTGGTGGACAGAGTAATTTGCTTCACTGTAGCAATTATTTCTATGTCTCAGGTAATGTACACCTTAAACATTAAAATATTATATATCTATATCTATATATATATAATATAGATATATATATATATAAATATTGGGTTCAAGGCACACTACCCCAAAATATGGCATCTTGGCATTTGAGACAGAAGAAAGAAAATTCATTCTCCAACCTCTTGCCCTTCTCCCCTAAGCAGGTCATGAGACCTCAACGTGAGAGGTGCTCCCCCTGTAACTCAAGGAAGGAATGTCCTTATCTCTAAAGCACAGAGACACAGAACCTGGACAGGCCTTGCTGAGTGTTCCCAGCGCCAACACTGAGTACACCTCTCTACCTCAACACACTTCATCAAATCCAAGGACAGAATGTACAAGTTTCCCTACTACTTTGGTTCATTTTCCTGAGGCTCCCATGTCATGAGATTTAACATTAAAATACATTTATGTTTTTCTCTCATTAATCCCGTTATAGGGACTTGGCTATGAACCTAAGATAGGAGAAGATACTTCTTTTCCCCCTACATGTAGTACCGGCCCATTTTAATTGTTGAAGAGGAAAATACCTCTTCATTTAGACTTCTACCAGTGTGAGATGCCCAGATTGGGCTCCTCTTACCAATGAGGTGCCTTTCTTCTGCCCATCCTTCCCAAGGCACCATCCCTGCAGTTAAAAGCAAACATTGGGGCTGGGATGCAGCTCGATAGCACTGTGCCTGCCTAGCAAGTACAAGGTTCTGAGTTTGATTCCTGGTACCAAAAAAAAAAAAAAAAAAAAAAAACCCAGATTTATATGATACTAAACACTTCATTGATTTATACGACACTAAACACTACAGTGGCAATGGAAGCAGTCTGAATTATGGCCTGCAGTTATAGAGGACGGTTACAGCTTATATCTAGATGCCCCCTGACTCACACTCGTAGGTGGGGCTTTGGGGAGTGATTGGATCATGGCAGTATGATCCTGGATTGGTTCTAGGTGTGGGTGATGGATTTACTGATGAGAGAAGACCCACCCTGGGCATGGGTGGCACAAACAAAGAGGCTTATAGCCTGGATGGAATACAAAGAAGGAAGGCTGCTGCTTCCTGCCTGCCAAGCCATGAACTGTTTTTCTCCTGCCATGCCGCTCTGCTACGCTGCTCTGCCTCGGAGCCAGACAACTGTGGACTGAAACTTCTACAAACTGTGAGCTAAAATAAGCCTTTCCCCCTCTAACTTGTAGAGTTATTTCATCCCAGCAATGAGAAAGGAATGAAGACGAACTGTTAGGATCCCAGGCTTGGCAGCTTAGTAATCAAGACATTAGAATGGAAGGTCAGGGAGGGATAAAGAACCTGCCACGAAACTACCCGCACTAGATATTCCAGGGTATCTTTTCTGATTGTAATGGCTTGAGATAACCGTAAAAATCCTTCAAGCATCCTTATCTGCATTCCTTTGGTTAAATTCAGGCTCCTTTCCTACCAGACCCATCACATCCAAAGTTCCTCAGGAATAAAGAGCCCATAAATTGGCTGGAGAAAAAGTAAAGAGCAGGAGACCAAACCCTAAGATAAATGAATGGGTTGAGAGAATCCAAAGAATGTTTAAATTACAAAAAAAAAAACAAAACAAAACAAAACAAAAAAAAAACCAAAAAACACCAAAACCAAAAAATAAAACCCAGAACAAAACTGTGCATATACCTGTATGGTGGGCTAGTGCCCTTCTCTGAATTGGGTGCCTTCTGCAGTTTTCACTCCCTCAAGAGAAGCATAAATGTTCCCTGCTCCAGGAAATCATATATCTCATTTCTTGAGTCTCACTTTCTTCTTGACTGTATCCCAAAATCTCTGCCTCATAAACCTCCCTGCGCCTCTTAAAATTTTAAGTAATTCAGAACGTAGTCCCCCTCCACCATCAAGCTCTAAGGTCGGCACACTATGCATCAAGTGTGTTAGCTTGCCACCCCACGATGGCACTCCCCTTTGCAGTTGAAGAGCAAAAGCAGCCTGACTGACAATTCCTGTCAATAAGTGTTGCTGTTTCAATAAAGTCCACTTGTGGCCACTAAAATTGGAATTTCATGTATTTTTAATTTACTGTGAAAAAAAATTTTTGTATGGGGAATTGAACTCAGGATCTTGAGCTTGCCAGGCAGACATGGCACCACTAATGTACATCACTGGCTCTATTTTCATTTTTTCAACCACTGAAAACTGTAAAAAGCATTCATCAACACACAAAGAGGCCTTATCAGGTCAGCTTACTGATCCTTGAAATACTTTTATGTAGTTTTTGTGCTGTTTATGCTCATTGTTTTGTAACATTTAAATTTGTCTTTTTATCAGCTTTGCTCTTTTATGGAATAAAATGGACTTGTTGAAATGGACCTGTACTTTATAAAAGTGTATTTGCAAGGGTTTGACCTCAGTTGTCTAATGACTATTGCAGGAGAGACCCAGCACAGAGACAAGCCTGGGAGAGTGCACAGCATAATCCCAGCTCAGCGATACGAAACCTCATCTCCACAAATGAGATTTCAGGTGACTTAGAATGCCTTTTTTCCTACTTTCTAAAGTGTCGGCATGAATATACGTATCTTTCAATGGCTCCCCAAGCATGTAGGAAACAAGGTAAGAGATCCAGCACAAGCCGGGAGTGGGGGCACATGCCTGTAATCCCAGCACTTGAGAGGCTGATGCAGGAGGATCACTGGGAGTTTGAGGCCAGGATGGGGCTACATAGTGAGTTCAGGGCCAGCCTGAATTACAAAGTGAGACCCTGCCTCAAAAAAAAAGCAAAAAAAAGATTTAGCACAGCATTGCAGTATACACCATCTAGCCCTGCTCATCTCTCCAATAACTTCTTTTACCACTCTTTGGCCTAAACTATACATATCATCAATGCTAAATTAATCTACAGTACTGAATTAATTTGCTTATGTATCTTTCCAGGCCTGAATGGGTTGATACATATTTGTCTAACTTACAGGACAGGACTATCAAAACTTCTAACGTAGCAACACTTAAATGCTCTGGACACTTACACGTGGGGCTAAAACATAGTGCATTTGCCTATTATCTTGTTACTAATTTTGCTTGTCTTGCCCGTTTTAAATTAGAAGCCCAGAGGACAGACACTGCCTTCCTCCTCTGCAGTTCCTGGTCATGGTGGGGACAGGTGACACTTATTTACTGAACTGAAGCAACTAGATAGAATATACATAGCATCAAACAAATAGGACTTAATAATCTAATCTTTGATAAAAAGAATGGGAATGGGACTTGTAATTACTACTCCCTTTTCTGCATTTGTATGGTTAGATTTTTCTTTATTCCTAAATCTCCATAGCAAATTCTAGTTAAGATATTGAATGTAGCAAAGTTTTTACAAGAAGCAGTAGACAAAAAGTTCACTATAAATTTTAATCTATGATATAAATCGTTAAACATATAGAAAAAATATAGTGATCAAATCCCATTTTGTAAATACTTTTGTGGAACAAAGAGATTTCCCTCATATCTCACTTTGTATTGCTGTTTGCCTTCTGAGAACCACACTAACAACAAATTATATAAAGAATACATGTAAAGCTTGTTAAAATGGTTGGCATAGGTGTACTATTTACTGATTCAAAGAATACGACAATCATTTATTCACTCAATACACTTCATTTACCGCTAAGTTCCCTTATGTAGAATGAAGTGTAACCCTATGCATTCCTCATGGTGCAGTGATTTCTCCTTCCAGTACAATCAGGGACCAACAGACAGTGAGGGTGTGGGAAGACTCCCCTTTAACTGTATCAAGATAACTGCTCCTCAGGCTCTGGCATCACCAATGTTAGGAAAGCACTTTTTGAAGCAATAGCAAATTAACATCACTGATACAAAATATGGCAAATTCAATGGTTACCAGCATCACTTCAGGTATGAATATTTAGGTAAATAAAACAATAATCAACATAGTGATACTCTGTCTCAAAAAAAAAAAAAACTATACCCAGGGATTTAGCTCAGCAGCACCGGGCCTGCCTTACAAGCACAAGGTCCTGAGTTTGATCCCTGGTTCCAAAAAAACAAAAAACTGTAATCATAAATAGAAGAATAAGGCTACCAATGTCTACCAATGTCCTCTTTCAGGAACTGGCACATTCTTAAGGTTCTTATATTTTTCAAATGTCTTAAAACTGAAAATTAGGGCTGGGGATTTAGCTAATTGGTGCCGCCACCTGCCTTGCAAGCTCAAGAACCCTAGTTTGATCCCCAGTACCGAAAAAAAAAAAAAAAGAAAAAAACCTGAAAATTAGCTGGATGTGGTAGTGCTTGCCTGTAATCCCAGCACTTGGCAGGCTGAGGCAGGAGCATCACTGTGAGTTTGAGGCCAGCCTAGGCTACATAGTGAGTTCAAAAGCCAGCCTGGACCATATAGTAAGATCTTGTCTGAAAAAAATTAAAACCAAAAAAACAAAAAACTGAAAATTAGTTCTATTATTCAAACTTTAACCTTGTTAATAAAATTTTGTAAGTATAATAAAAGCTAACAATTATGTGTCCAGGAATTACAAGTTTTTAATAGAAAAATTTCAAAATATATGCCTCAGAATTTTTTTGTCTGTGTGATGATGGAGACCAAACCCAGGTCTTTGTATATACTAGACAAGTGTTCTACCACTAAGCTATAGCCCCATCCCTTTTTATTTTTTGAGATAGGGTCTCACTAAGTTGCCCAGGCTGGCCTCAAATTTGTGATCCTCTTGCCTCTCTCCTGAGTGGCTGGGGTTACAGGCATGTACCACCCCACTCAGCTTTATCCATCTCTCTTGATAATACCTGGTAATTTATGACTTGCTTTCCAAAAGTATAGAAACAAGTATGTGAATAAAGGCTGGGCATGGTAGTGCATGCCTATAATTCTAGCATTCAGGAGGCTGAGGCAGGAGGACTGCTAGGAGTTCCAGGCCAGCCTGGGCTGCACAGTGAGTTCAAGGCCAGTCTGGACTACATAGCAAGACCTTTTCAAAAGAAAAAGAAAACAAAAAAAACAAAAAAAAAAGAAAAAGAAAGAGAAGACAGAAGCTTTCAAGTGGAAAGAATGAATGGCATTTGTTGTTTTTAAAAACTCATCAGGCTTCTGTGTGCCAAAATGTTGAAAACTAGACACATTCAAACATAGTCAGCTCTCATGTGAATAAAAATGCCTAAACTCTTACCTCTGAAGACACAGGAATTGGACAATACAAATGTTCCCTTCTCTTTGACAGTAATTGTTTTTAAACAAGGTTCATTTCATAAGATTATGAGAATACACAATAATGGTTAGATTTTCATTTTTCTGCTATTCTACCTAGTAAAATTAGAAACAAAGCAGATGAATCATGGTGACTGCTAAACTGGCCTAAAGTAGTTTGATTTATAATCCGCTTTATTTATTTGTTTGTTTATTTTGTACTGGGGATTGAACTCAGGTCCTTGTACTTGCGAGGCAGGCAGCAGAACCACTGAGCGAAATCCCTGGCCCTATAACCCCCTTTAAAAAGCTGTCATCTGGACCTGAGGTTTAGCTCAATGGTGCTGCTGCCTGCCTCACAAGTATAAGGCACTGAGTTCAATCCCTGGTACCAAAAACAAAACAAAACAACTGTCATTTGAACAGTTGCTTGAATATGTAACAGTAGACAAAAAAATGAGGTGCCATGCTAATTAAAGTATTCCAAAACAAAGCACAAAACCTGAAAACAGATTCAGTGCTATAGACATTTAAAAATGTATAATTATTAAAACTCTAATAAGATCTTGAGAATGCATTTTGAGGCAGTTTTTACATACTTTGAAAAAATAGGTATATTTCAAATAATTTGAAGTATCATTTACAGATTTCATAGTCTCTCAAAATTTTCTTCTGCAGTGCTACTTTGCTTTCGAGTTTCATCTTTAATCCCTCAGTAACTGTTCTTTATGCTGAAATAAAACTCTGCTTGTTCATTAGTTTTCTGTATATCCCATCGGGCTTTGAAAGCAGCTCTTCATGTTTTCCATGTTCAATGATTCTTCCCTGGTCAAGCACAGCCACAAGGTGAGCATTCTTGATGGTGGACAGGCGGTGGGCGATGATCAGCACCGTTCTGCCCTCCATCAGTCGATCAAGGGCCTCCTGCACCAGGTGCTCATTCTCGGCATCCAGCGCGCTACATGGGCCACAGGGAGGAAGCAAAGATATCTGTGCCACAGGCAGAGTCACTCACATACCTCCTGGTCTATGCTACCGGGCCCTGCATTAGCAATGAGCTCCACTCAATCAGAATCGTGCCGCTGGGGCTGAGGGTGCTGAAAGAAGGCGATGTGCAGAACCACACTTGGCCTCAGCACACAGGCTGGCCAGAGGGGTCAGGGTCTATCTCAAGTGTGCTGGAACCAGAGCTAGACGCATGTTCACACTCTCTCACCTGCCATCACTCACTGATCCAGGCACCATCACTCTACAGACTTGGGGGAAAGCATTTTGTGTTCTATCACTTTGTTTTGTTTTTGTTTTTTTGGTTCCAGGGATCAAACTTGGGTCCATGTGCTTGCGAGGCAGGTAGCAGAACCACTGAGCTAAATCCCCAGCCCCTGTTCTATCACTCTGAAAGACAAAATAATAGTTTTCCTGAAGGGAGAATTTGGATGAACACAATTATACACATTATTAAGAATTAAGACAGTGCTGGGGATTTAGCTCAGTGGTGCTGCTGCTGCCTCGCAAGTGCAAGGACCCGAGTTCGATCTCCGGTACCAAAAAAAAAAAAAAAAAAAGAATTAAGACATCTTAACTTTGGATGGTCACTTTATCTGGGACAGGATGAAAGGTATGAAAGGTTTTGGTGGAAGGATAATTTGGTTTAGTATAATTACACACATTTATTAAGACATCCTGCATACAGTCTACATGCATGTTAAGACATCCCCTGACACAGACACACATGTCAGTAAGACATCAGGGTATTGAGACATCTTTACCTGGTTGCTTCATCTAGGAGAAGAATTTTGGGGTCCTGAAGAAGGAAAACAAAAAGAAAAGATTATTTTATTAGAAAGACCCAAATTTTTAGCAATAAAGAGGAATCACATTCTGACATACATCACAATGTGGATAAACTCTGGAAACATTATTCAGTGGAAGAAGCTACACACAAGAACCATATATTGTGTGATTCCACCTGTGTGAAATAGGTAGAACAGCCACTTCATAGACAAAAGGCAGATCAGTGTCACAAGTGGGGGACACAAGTCAGTGGGGGACACAAGAGGAGGGCCCATGTGGGGCTCTGCCTGGGGCTATGAGGATGTCCACTCTAAACATGATGGTTGGGGCTCAAGGTTTATCTCAGTGGTGCCACCATCTGCCTTGCAAGTGCAAGGACCCAAGTTCGATCCCCAGTACAAATCAATCAATCTTGTTTAGAGCTGGGGATTTAGCTAAGTGGTTCCACTGCCTGCCTCGAAAGCACAGGGTCCTGAGTTTGATCCCTGGTACACACAAAAATACACCACACAAAAAAACAAAGAAGGCTGTCACTTCTTTCACAATGGGTCATTGGACCTTCAGTTAATAAGGTGCTTCCTATCTCTCCAGGAGTCTAAGTACTTGTACTACTGAACTCAGCCTTGACTACAGGTTATACATATACACATTCTTGTGCTGTTCGGATGCTGTGATACTGATCAGACTGTAAGCTTCCTGTACATGTGTGAAACTTATCCCTCTGATCACGCTACAACAGCACCCAGGAAATACTTAATACTTGTTAAATCTGTATACAACCTCAGGGGAACACCCAACTTATTGCTACCAGACTCTCAACCATATATCCACCCACCTTCTCAAAAAAAAAAAAAAAGGAAGAAAATGATAAATTACAAAATCCCAATTAAAAACAGTTCTAAAAATCCAGGCAAGTGGCTTCAGGCTTACCTTAAGCAGTGCACGGGCAATTGCAATCCGCTGTTTCTGTCCACCTGACAAAAAAACATTTAAAAAAAGAAAGCCTTAACAAAAATTCTTAGGAACAGGTCTTTCTGATAAGACATATGGTAATTTAAAGATGCCTTCTCCCAGTTAGCAAAAGCTGGGACAGATAGCTGAACAAAAAAACAACTTTTGAAATATCTTCCCATCAGTGTCAAAATTAGTAATTATTGTCATAGCTAAAATGTATACACCAGCATTTCTTTTGTTTTTTTTCATTAAGTTTACTGTTACACTTTAGGTATGTAATAGTTACATTCATCACTGGAATCTTGCACCTTTATATGATGGATGCATCTTGGTTCTTATGTTTCCCCATTCCCTGCCCTCCCTTCACCTCCTCCACCCTTCCCTAGTTACAAAGACTGTTTCCATGTTTTCCTCTTCTTTATATTTTTTCTTTCCTTTTTTCCCTTTCTCCTACCTCTTACTTTCCCTTTATACCTTTTCTTCCTATTTCACAATATTAATTATACATTTTGATCCTTATTTACACTTAGTTTTTCATGTCAGAGAAATTACTTGGTAGTTACACGTGTCCCCTATTTATTTCACTTGAGAGTATGGCCTCAATGTGCATCTATTTAGCTATAAATGTCTCTGGTTTCTCGTTCTTTATGGTTGAGTAGTACTCCATTTTTTAAAAAAACTTATCTTCTTTATCCAATCTCCAGTTGATGGGAATTGGGCTGTTTCAGTTCTATTACAAACTGTGCCACTATAAACAAGGGTGTGCATATATCGCTGTGGTATGATTCTTTCAAATCTTTTGGGAAGATACCCAGCAGAGGAATAGCTACACCAGCATTCCTTTCTTCTTTTCTTCTGTGGCACTAGGGATTGAACCCAGGGGCTCTGCACTGAGCTATATCTCCAACCCTTTTTAATTAAAATCTCAGTAAACTAAGCTGCCCAGGCTAGGCTCAAACTTGGGTGGATCCTTCTGCCTTAGACTCCCAGAATACTAGCAGGTTTGTTTTTTTTTTTTAATTTTTTTTGGTACCAAGGATCAAACTCCAGTCCTTGCACTTGTGAAACAGGTGGCAGAACCACTGAGCTTAATCCCCAGCCCTAATTTTTTTTTCTTGAGAAGGGTCTGCCATGTAGTTCAGACTAGCCTTGAATTTACTGTGTAGCCCAAGCCTAAGCCTCCTGAATGCTGGGATTACAGGTCTGTGTCACCACACCTGGCAGGCATTTTCTAAATATATTACATGTGGGCCAGTGGTTCAGTGGCCTGCCTTGCAAGCACAAGGACCTGAGTTCAATCCCCTGTACCAAAAAA